TGGGTGATTAGGATAGATAACTCTTAAAAAAGGACTTTTTATACAAAATATTTTTAGCTCACCTGAGCTGAAAGCTCAAGTGAGCTTTTCTGATCACATTTTGTCCGGCGTCCGTCTGTCCGTCCGTCTATCCGTCTGTCCCTCTGTCCATCCGTCTGTAAACTTTTCACATTTTTAGCTCACCTCAACGAAGTTGGGGGAGCTTATGTAATACCCTCGGCGTCGGCGTCCGTGTCGGCGTCCCAGGTTAAGGTTAAGTTTTTTGGAGCAGTTTTCTTTTTAACTACTTCTATGTCCTATATGGATTAGACATGCATGGAAGATGGAAGATGGTGTTTCATTGTACCAGTCAAAGTTTCAGATGCTGCAATTTCAGCAAAGGAATGACCAGGTTAATGTTTTTGGAGCAGGTTAACATTTTTGGTGCAGTTTTTGGTGAAGTTTCATTTCCAAGTAACTATAAGACCTATGTTGACCAAACTTGCATGGATGATACATCTAAGGATGCATACTACCAGGCTTGCTTCAGATGCTGAATCTGACCTACATTTTATGGTTGAGTGAACAGGTTTAAGTTTTTTGTGCAGGTTTCATTTCCAAGTAACTATAAGCCCTATGTTGACCAAACTTGCATGGATGATACATCTAAGAATGCATACTACCAGGCTTGCTTCAGATGCTGAATCTGACCTACATTTTCCGGTTGAGTGAACAGGTTAAAGTTTTTGGTGCAGATTTCATTTCCAAGTAACTATAAGCCCTATGCTGACCAAACTTGCATGGATGATACATGTAAGGATGCATACTACCAGGCTTGCTTCAGATGCTGAGTCTGTCCTACAATTTCCGATTGAGTGAACAGGTTAAAAGTTTTTGGTGCAGGTTTCATTTCCAAGTAACTATAAGCCCTATGTTGACCAAACTTGCATGTATGATACATCTAATGATGCATACTACCAGGCTTGCTTCAGATGCTGAGTCTGACCTACAATTTCCGGTTGAGTGAACAGGTTAAAGTTTTTGGTGCAGGTTTCATTTCCAAGTAACTATAAGCCTTATGTTGACCAAACTTGCATGGATGATACATCTAAGAATGCACACTACCGGGCTTGCTTCGAATGCTGAATCTGACCTACAATTTCTGGTTGAGTGAACAGGTTAAAGTTTTTGGTGCAGGTTTCATTTCCAAGTAACTATAACCCCTATGTTGACCAAACTTGCATGGATGATACATGTAAGGATGCATACTACCAGGCTTGCTTCAGATGCTGAATCTGACCTACATTTTCCAGTTGAGTGAACAGGTTAAAGTTTTTGGTGCATGATTCATTTCCAAGTAACTATGAGCCCTATAATGAGCAAACTTGCATGGACGATACATCCTAGGAGGCTTGCTAATGGACTTGCTTCTGATGCTGAATTGGACATACATTTTTCAGATAATAGACCAGATAAAAGTTATGGATGCAGGTCTATTACCAAAAAACTATAAGGCTTACATAACATTGTATAAACCAAACTTGCACAAATGTTGCATCAAGAGATGAAAACTCTCAAATTTGCTTCAGATGCTGGTTTTTAATTACATTTTAATGAAGAAGAACTAGTTTCAATTTTTTATTTAGGTCTATTTCAAAGTATCAGATCAAAATTGCTTAAATATTTTCATTTTTGGAATGTACACTTTTTGTTGGTTAATTGTGTGACTTTGCCTTACTTAAAGACAACATTCGTTGAGGTGAGCTCTGTAATCTCTGATTACCTATGTTTGACTTCTTCTGAAGAACCCCTGGGCCAATTTTAACCAAACTTGGTACAAAGCATCCTTGGGTAAAGGGGAGTTTAAATTGTTAAAATGAAAGGGCCAACCCCCCTTACATGGGGAGATAATGAAGAAAAGACAAAAATAGGGCGGGGTCATTAAAAAATCTTCTCAAGAACCACTGGGCCAGGAAAACTGAAACTTATGTGGAAGCATCCTTGGGTAGTGTAGATATTAAATTATAAAAATCATGACCCCCGGGGTTAGGGTGGGGCCACAATAGGGAATCCATGTTTTACATAGAAGTGTATAGAACACATCTTTAAAAATCTTCTTCTCAAGAACCACTGGGCCAGGAAGGCTGAAATTTACGTGGAAGCATCCTTAGGTAGTGTAGATATTAAATTATAAAAATCATGACCCCCGGGGGTAGGGAGGGGCCACAATAGGATATCCAAGTTTTACATAGAAATATATAGAACAAATCTTTAAAAATCTTCTTCTCAAGAACTACTGGGCCAGGAAAACTGAAACTTATATGGAAGCATCCTTGGGTCGTGTAGATATTAAATTGTTAAAATCAAGAACCCCGGGGATAGGGCGGGGCCACAATAGAAAATCCAATTTTACATAGAAATATATAGAACAAATCTTTAAAAATCTTCTTCTCAAGAACTACTGGACCAGGAAAGCTAAAACTTATGTGAAAGCATCCTTGGGTTGTGTAGATATTAAATTGTATGACCCCCGGGGGTAGGGAGGGGCCACAATAGGAAATCCAAGTTTTACATAGAAATGTATAGAACAAATCTTTAAAAATACTCTTTTCAAGAACCACTGGACCAGGAAAGCTTAAACTTACATGTATGTTGAAGCATCCTGGGGTAGGGTAGATTCCAAATTATTAAAATCATGAAAGGGGAGGGGGTAGGGGGCACGATAGGTATAGCAAGAGGGGAAATCTGGTTAAGAACCGCATCAACCAAGTTACTCAGGTGAACGATGTGGCCCATGGGCATCTTGTTTAAATCCTGTTCGTTGCCTAGGAACAAAATTGGATGTTTTGATAACAAAAAAAAATAAAAAGTGAAAAATGGTAAAGGGTTGGGTCAAAAGTCTTATAGTGTTTATCTTTTTGTGGCAGATACAATTTTTCAAGTAATAGAAAATAACTCTTATATAATTTTAAAATGAAAGAACAATTTATAATCATTAATATCCATGACAACAGGAATTTTTCCCTAGCAACAATGCAAAAACAGTTATTTTTGGGCCTTTTTGGTATAAATTTTGATAAATACCGATAGATATTTTTTCTTTAAAATGCTAATAATTTTAATGTAATTAAATATAGTTTATATAAATTAGATATCAAATTTCCAGCACTTAGTGTACTACGGTCACGTGATCGTAACAGCCAATCAAATTACTCCTCAAGTTTATCTTTGTCTTTCTCGCACGGTTCCTGCAAATTCTCAAGTAAATACGGATTTTATTCATTATAATCTCATTTTAAACGCTGACAGTGATAATAATTCCATGTTGTGGATTGTTATTTCATTCTTACCACGTGCAGTTTCACGTGTATCTGTTTATATGGACACAGACTATTAATTTCCTATATCGGATACTGTGACCTAAATGCGTGAACTCTGAGAAGTGATATATATACTGATTGTTTAAGATTTCTTACTGAAAGATGTCTGGAAGGAAAAGAAAACGATCCGAAACATCGACAGGACCTACAGAGACGGAAGTCACGCGATGGGACACTAGTGAACCCGAAAACTGGACGTCCACGGAAATTCTACAAAAGTTGAAATCAAAAGGAATCGTGGTGCCAGTGTCCCTGAAAAAGTCCCAATTAGTACAAATCTACCGGGACAACGTTTTATGTAAAGAAAAATCGGCTACAAATAGCGAAACAGACAATGTCGAAGTCGTACATATTTAAAATGGCGCAGGGGAAGTGGTAGAAAAGACACTTCCGGCATCTTCATCAGCAGCAAACGGAAACGAGGCTGGGCGGATGTTGTATTCCAACGAGTTGATTGACGCAATTCGAGGCATAAAAGATTCAGTTACGAAGTTGTCAAACGAAGTGGACGAACTGAAGAAGAATCAAGACAAATCCCATCAGCCTGGGACCTCTACAGACTACATCAGGAGAAACTTTGATAACTCTCCGTGGAACACGCCCCAGGTTGTCCCGACCAGAGTTTCCTCAGACTCAGTCCCCTGCATGGAAACGGTTTCTTCGACAATTAGAAGTAATATTCTACAAGGTAAAGATGTTAATTTAGCATTACTTATTATGCCACGAGAGACAGAAGAAAATCATGTAACCGACAGCGATGGTCGTTACATATTATTGAAACAATCTCACGACACAAGACTACTGAGAAACCTAACTCTTAACGAGTTCATAATAGCCTTTACAAAATACAAGAACATAATATGTGAGGTGTATCCCGCAAGGCGTCAAGAATTAGATGCTTACGAACGGGACATTGTGGAAATGGCATCAACCACAAGAGGAGCAGCCTTTTATGAGTATCATAAGGCTTTCTCAGCACGTGCAAGCGCACTATTACTACAGAGAAACATCCACATTGACTGGTCCATAAGAGACACTAAATTATTCACCACAATATTTTCTGGTCAAACCATAATCAGATGCGAGTTCTGTAGTAGCGTGACCCATGCCTCACACTTCTGTCCCAAGTCAAAGAGCTGTCCTACACCTTACGCTGGAAATCCAAACAGCAAGATAAAACCAACACCTAGTAATGTAGATGTTCAGGGAAGACCAAGAATCTCATATAAGGGGAAAGAAATATGTAATAACTACAATGGAACAAACGGGTGCCAAAGGAATTCTTGCAATCTTCTTCACATATGTTCATAATGCAAGTTAAACAACCACTCTGCTTCCAATTGCACAAAAACCAAATACAAATCAAAGGACCACACTCAAACTGACAAACAATGACTATCCTCTAAAGTGACAGAAGTTAGACAACGTGAAACGGCATCAATTACTCCACTAAATACTCCTATACTTAAAACAGAACTAAATAGGCATCCCGACAGGACGTTTGTTGACGCATTAATATATGGACTTGAGAGAGGTTTTACCACTGGAATATCATCATTACCTAAATCAACATTAAAGTGCAAAAATTTGCTGTCAGCTAGAAAACAACCTGAAATTTTCGACAAGCTGATAAAATATGAAATGGAGAAAGGATACTTGGATGGTCCATACGATATACCACCTTATTCTGTATACAGAATTAGCCCCATTGGAATTTCTCAAGGAAAATACTCAGAGAAATATAGACTAATCGTTGATTTATCCTCCCCTCGCAACCAGTCATCTGAAACAAGCATTAACGATCTCATTGATAAAGATGAATATTCATTGCAGTATGTGCGTATCGATGACGCAATTACCATTTTAAAGACACTTGGTAGTGAGTCTCTCATGTGCAAAACGGATATAGTGGACGCATTTAAACTAATCCCTATAGCAAAAGATGTGCAACCCTACTACGGAATTAAATGGAGGGAGAAATACTTCTTCTACAAGAGACTAGTTTTTGGTTGCAGGAGTAGTCCCAAAATTTTTGACATGCTTTCCCAAGCCATCTGTTGGATAATCCAGAATAACTACAATGTAAGAAATATCCTTCATTTACTGGACGATTTCATTACATTTGACCCCCCGGGCGAAGGCGGATTGAGGAGTATGGCTGTTTTGACTATGGTATTCAAAAAGCTCGAAATCCCAATTTCGGAAAAGAAAACAGTAGGTCCGGACACAGTGATTGAATACCTGGGAATTATACTCGATTCTAAAATTATGGAGAGCCGTATCCCCCTGGAGAAAGTCGACAGAATTTTGACTCTTATTAATAACCTTAGAGTAAAGAAATCATGTACAAAACGTGAGCTGTTAAGTGTCTTGGGTCATTTTAACTTTGCAGCACGAGTAATCCCAGCTGGCAGATCATTCACATCTTACCTACTTACATTAGCTCACTCTGTGTCGGAACTCCATTATCATGTGTATTTGACAAGCGAATGCAGAAAAGACTTGGCAATGTGGGAGAAATTTTTACAAGGATGGAACGGAAAGTCATTTTTCCTGGAGGAATATGTGACAGACACAACCGACATTTCATTATTTACGGATGCTTCATCAAACCATGGCTTTGGGGGGTACTATGCCGGGCGGTGGTTTCAAGGAAAATGGCCAGAAGAAATCCACAACCTGGGAAATGATCCTATTTCTATGGCACTTTTAGAGTTGTACCCCATAGTAGTAGCAGTGGTCCTATGGGGACACGAATGGTCTGGAAAACGGATAAAATTTTTGTGTGACAATTTAGCTACTGTTCAGATAATTAGAAAACGTCGTTCAAAATCTGCTATTATAATGAAGCTTATGAGAAAATTAACTTGGAAGTCAGCATGCGAAAACTTCCTTATTCTATGTGATCATGTCCCTGGTAAAGAAAATGTGATAGCTGACTCTCTTTCTCGTTTCCAGATGGCCCGATTCAGAGAAGCAGCACCAACAGCATCAAAAGACCCGGTGAACATTCCATCACTACAAGAACTTGTTTTGTACTAGAGGATCAAGCAAATAGATTGTGTGATTCTTCCATCAGTGAAAACACAAGAAATGCCTACATAACAGGTTTTAGGACTTTCTGTAATTTTCTACCGTCCATTGGGATTAGAGCAGATGACTTTAGACCAACACCATTTACAGAACAAACTCTTATCTATTTCGTGACACATTGCTTTAAGGCTTTAAGACTGTCTATCAATACCATCAAGTTATACCTAGCAGCTGTGAGATTCTTCTATGTGAAAGCTGGCGTCCATTGCCCATGGTCCACTATGAACGAAACATGCCCCAGACTACATACTGTTTTAAGAGGAATAAAGAAACAAAGCAATACAAGAGAGAAAAGAAGACCCATAACCTACAACATACTATGTCAGCTACACAGCATCCTGAAACAAGGCAGATTTGGCAAATTCATAGACAATATGCTTATGTCCGCCTGCTCATTAGCATTTTTCGCCTTCCTAAGATGTGGGGAATTCACCATTCAGAATGGTAACCAGGACAATATGTTATCTTTAACAGACATTACGATGGATTCTCATGAAAACAAAGTGAATGTTTTTACCTTAGTGCTAAAGAGCTCAAAAAACAGATCCTTTTCGTCAAGGAATAAGTATCAGGATCTTCAAATCTGGTAATGTCGTTTGCCCCGTCAACTCAATGGTGGAATATCTCAAGATTCACAAAACCTGGACTAATGGCAGAGAATCCCCTGCACTTTTCATTGAGGAATGTGGAACTCCACTAACGAGAAACTCCTTCGTCAGTAAACTTAAACAATTACTTCACTCGCTAGGATACAAGGATGAAAAGTACAATGGGCATTCCTTCAGAATTGTGGCAGCAACATCCGCAGCATCCGGTAACGTGGAGGATCACATGATTAAAACATTGGGACGATGGAGGTCTGACTGCTACAACCGATACATTCGTACTGACGACGACACATTGTCGCGTGCTCAACAGGCAATGTGCAACAAGTGATTCAGTGAAAAATTATTATAGCTAGTGAAACCCAAAATGGCCTTGAAAGAAAATGTGTGTGTTCTAGGATACGATCATGTTTCATAGTGAAATATAGCAGTGAAATCCAAGTCAATTGTGAAAGAGTCAAGTGTGAAAGAAATGTTTCTGTGATTCCTAAGGATGTGTTACTTCAATTGCAGTGATACCCCACTATGTAACATTTGATTCTGTCCAATTCCTAATTATGCAACTTACTAAATAAAATGACTCTGTATGTAAATAGAACTAGCCATATTACTTATTGTTAAGACATATCGGACCAGGAATTGCTGTATAAATTCATCTAATACTTGTTATAATATGGGTAGTTTGTATATTCGTTTTACCTATTAACCTCAAATTTTCGTTAAAATTTTGAGTTGATAACTTTTCAACTAAGAATTCAAGAATTAGTAGATACTTAAGAATATTATTGTTACATCATAAACTAAATGTAACGAAGAACTGCTTGTATAAAATGTTCAACTAAGCATAATATGTCATTACTAGTCTATTAATTAATTCATGGTTATATATACTTTGAACATATTTCATTATTTCTGTATTAGATGAGTTATTAGATTAAGGATGGTGGTGGTTCAATTTCTTTTGGGCACTCTCAGCTATCCCAAACACATCAATTTTCTGTTTGTGCTACCTTCGTTTTGGGCATTTCACACTTGAATATTTTATATATCATGTGTTATTCTACCCCAAAGAAATTGCATTTTTCAGCATACATAGTACATGTTTACTTCTACAAGGCCATCGGCCATGCAGACTCACAGGCCATCGGCCATGCAGACAAACAAGGCCATCGGCCGCCCATACAAGGCCATCGGCCAACCATACAAGGCCATCGGCCAACCACATACGGCCATCGGCCACTCATTGATTTATATTTTTTGCAAATTTCACTATGTATGCATTATTTGTACATATATGTTTGACATTGATGATGTGTGTAGCTGAGTAGTTCTCAAAAGGCAAATAAAGAAGTTAAACGGAATCAGATTTTTGTTTTTGTAAAATAATTTTAATGTAATTAAATATAGTTTATATAAATTAGATATCAAATTTCCAAGCACTTCATGTACTACGATCACGTGATCGTAACAGCCAATCAAATTACTCCTCAAGTTTGGCTTTGTCTTTCTTGCACGGTTCCTGCAAACCTCCTCCTCCCCACCACCACCTTAATTTGATCGTAGAGAACTACTTTTGTTCATACTGTTTGTTTATGTAAGGCATTTCACACCTGAATATTTTATATATCATGTGTTATTCTACCCCAAAGAAATTGCATTTTTCAGCATACATAGTACATGTTTACTTCTACAAGGCCATCGGCCATGCAGACACACAAGGCCATCGGCCGCCCATACAAGGCCATCGGCCAACCATACAAGGCCATCGGCCATCCATACAAGGCCATCGGCCAACCACATACGGCCATCGGCCACTCATAGATTAAACGTTATCTTTTGCAAATTTCACTATGTATGCATTATTTGTACATATATGTTTGACATTGATGATGTGTGTAGCTGAGTAGTTCTCAAAAGGCAAATAAAGAAGTTAAACGGAATCAGATTTTTGTTTTTATAAATTGGGCATTAATGTCAATTTAATATGGGTTTGATAAAGTAAATTTGGTACTTTATTAACCTATGGATACAATTCTGAACACTTAACGACCACTTTTATATCTTCAATTTACTTTTACATTCAGGCATTTTTTCGCTAAATTTTTAGGGCTGAAATGAGATCTTCCACAAAAGACGTTATAAATAAAAAACAAATAGTTTCATATACAATATTATTATGTAACAAAACATTTGTATGGATGACAAGATTCCATAATCAAATTATACTTGAGTTGCCATGGCAACTTAATGCACAATGACCAGAAAGCAAATTATCTGTGACCAAAATATTTGAAATTTTATCTTCCATTAATAATTACAAGTAATACTTTTGCTAGCATTGCAATAAGAAAACACTCAGAAAGCTCTTAAATTCATAATTTAAGAACTGTAATAAAAATTCTTATTTTTTTATTGGAGTAATGTGGGCCTATTGGCTCCTTTTTCTCCACAGTAACGCACTTCTCTTTCCTAAAAAATTATTAGTTTTTTGACCCAACCCTTTACCATTTTTAACTTTTTAGTTATCAAAATATCCAATTTTGTTGCTAGGCAACGAATATGATTTTTCAAAAAACCCACGCTTTCAAAGTCAATCTGTAAAGGAGAAAGTTCTCTACTTTTATGTGAAAGTCATTCAAAATCTGTAATAGCTTGGTATTTTTTTTTAAATTGACCTTAAATATTGTCAAAATATAGGAAAATGCTGAATCAGTAAAAATGCAAAAACATATATATATTCTAATGTCTATCATAGTATAAGCTTCAGATAAAATATCAATGTCTCGTTTGTTTTAAACAAATTAAAGTGTGTGTCTTTATCATACCAGTAAATGAGAATTATTGTTAAAGTTTTAATAAATATTTTCAGGCTTTAAAGATCAGTGATTTTCAGTACCTTCAAATAGAAAAATTGGCTGGTTGCTAAGGAAATAACTTTGATCAGGTTTCCATAGTAACCATGATCCAACACATTTTTTATTTTACATACATGGATCATAGGTCAAGAGAAATCTTTGTGTGGAAAATCATTGAATTCTGAGAACCTGAGTGAATCACCTTTTGCATGATTGTTATATGGACTGGTAACCAAAAGTAACCAAAGTAGGCATGCTAAGTGTATAATTATGATAAGCACTTGTGCATCTTACAAAATTGTGAAATTCATGGCCTCTGGTTTAAAACACGAATCAAATTCAATTGTAGGAAAGTTGTTACGGGATACTCATTACTCAGGTGACCTTTACGGCCCGTGCCCCCCCCCCCCCTCTTGTTGAATAAATATTGTTTCAAATGCTCTGCGCATATTGTTTATGAATGGCCTTTGTAATATATGTATGAATATATATCATATATCATCATAATATCATATATTTAAGAATAACTATCATACTACTCAGAATCAATTTCAAGCCTTTTATAGTTCCATTACTTCTGAGTTAGCTCCGCCCATAAAACTGGGACTGCTTTCTTGAAATGCTGGGACTGCAGTAGGACTGCCATAGTCCTATGTAGGACTCCTATGTTTCAGGTGTGGTCTGATCTGTACTGTAAGTTTCAGCTTTTCTGAACGAATGTTTTTTAAGATTTTTCCCTACATAATCAAATGTTAAAATTGGATTCAAAATTTCGGCACCGGCCTACCAGGGCTATCATGATGTGAACAATTTAGGACCTTCGCCGCCCCAAGATGCGCCCATATAAGTTTAAGTTTTCCTAGCCCACTGGTTCCTACAGGGTGTTTCATTAAATATGTTACATTTTGAATCTTAAAACACAAGAAAAAGATATTGATTCTTTTTATCAAACTGATGCACGTATCTATAAGATTCATAATTTACAATTAACAAATAAAATATTTAACACTGATTAAAATCTTAAACATAAAAGAAAATTGACAAAATTTTTAAGTTCGTGATTTTTGCTACATTGAATTTCACAAAGTTTAAAACTCTTATTACATGTTCCAAAAGATCTCCATTAATTCAATCACAAATGAATTTTTTTTTCTTGAAATTTGTATAAAATCTTGTCACATATTTTTGCTTAAACACTCATTTGAAGGTCGATGCTCTTTTTGAGTTCATTCAATATCTGTGGTCTAGGATTATAGACCCTATTCCTTAAGAACCCTTACAGAAAAGAGCCCAATGATTGAGATTGTCAAATGCAGAGGTCAAACTCTTTCCTAGCATTACTGAAAATTTGTAAGATGATAACTTCAAATCATACTTTAAAGTTGATTATATGCTGAAAATTCTGATATTACTAGAATAAATTTCTGAAAGTATGTATCTGACACTCTTTTCCCGGAAATTTGCTACACTAAGAGTCTCCACCAATTAA